CCTAAGGGCTCACACTCATTAAGCTTTGGAATGCTCTAATACCTCACGTGAGTTATACTTCTTACATAAATGCCTGGCTCTTCATGGAGATGATCCCATGAGATTCAAAATCATTCTGAATTTTGAAAGTTGCAGTGTTAGGTAATACAGCCTCTTGGAGAGAAACCTGGCAAACATTCATCAAAATTCAAAAGGAGAACGCCTCCTTAGCCAGCAATTTCACATATAGCTTATAGAAACGCCGAAGAAAACCCCCAAACCCAAACCCACCGCCATTGAGTTGACTGTCTTATAGCAACCATATAGGATAGTGTACGATTTGAGGCTGCAAATCTGGATTGCCTCGTCTTCATCCTGCAGAGAAGCAGGCAGGTTCCAACTGTTGACCCTTCTGTCAGCAGCTTGAGGGTTATCCTTTATATAAAACTCCACATGCACAACACTGTATGTATGAGAGGGGATACATTGCTTTTAAAAGAATTGAAAATGATGCAATGTTCATCAGAAGTCTGTTCAAATAGTTATAAAATAAAGGAAAACATGGGTAGAGCCATCTGTCCACACTGTAGTAATGACAATGTGTCACAGACGTTGAGTATTTAGGAGGGTGATATTTGCGTGCATAGAAAAATGTCTGAAAGGATATATAGCCTGGCGGGTAGCGCTTATATGTCGGGCTGCTAGATGCAAGGTCTGCAGTTTGAATTACCCACCACTCTGGGGAGAAAGATGCAGTTTGTTATTCCTGTAAGGCCATTCTCTTTCACCCTGCTCCTCGTCAGAGGCAGGTAGAGGTAGGAGGTACACTCGTGCTGCCCGGGCCGGCCCCCTCAGCACCTGCTCCAGGCCTATCTAGGACCCACATGCACCCACGCTGGGCCTATTTGGGGCCCACAGCCTCTCTCTCTCTTCTCACTTACTACTCCCCTCCCCCCAACAGTGCCTGCTCGTGCTGTGCTCTCTCTGGCCTCAGTTCGCCATGTGTGAGTGTGCTGTTCCACTAGGTGTCCAGTTGTGAACTCCTGTGCAGCTTGAAATAGCAGGTACCCTCTTGAGACTATAAAACCTGAAACTTCTCCCGTCCATCAGAAAACCCCACTTGGATTACATATTACAGATGGACTTCGGTGTGAATTCTTTCTTGTGCGAAGCCGAGAACTGAGGTATTACCCACTCAAGCTACCTCACAAGTCTACTCCTTGGAGCAAGTTGGGTTTTCTGGGACAAAGCAACTAGGTTGGTACATCAGTTATATTTCTGGATAAGAAATGAAACCATTAGGTGCAAATGGTCAGGGAACTCTTCTAAGCCACACTTCCTTCTTTTTTAAAAAAGTTTAATTGGCATATAGTTTACATAAAAGACAATTCAATAGTTCCAGCACACCAAGAAGAGTTGTACAGTCATCGCCACCATCCAGTTTTGAACATTTCCTTCATTCTTCTATTCATGATTTGCTCCCCATTTACCCCCAACCTCCCCTGCCATACCCCCAAGGAATTATTAAACCAGTCACGGTTTCTAAATATTTACCTATACTGGATTTTATATACAGAAAAATGTTTTTTAAACCCCCCCCCCAAAAAAACCCGACAACCATAACAAAGTAAATCAGATAAAAAATCAATGGAAAATATTAAAAACTAGAACAAATGTAAATGGACCATATGGGAAATCACGTAACAGGGGGCTAAATTTTAACCTAATTGAATCTGTAGCAATCCACTTTCCAGTGCATCCTGAAAGACAGCAAGGCTGTTCACATCCCTGGTCCATGGTCAGAGGGGATTCACCGCGGGCTTAATTCACGTGCATTTCCCCTTTATTGATTGATTATGCTGAAAATTTTAAAATAGGTCAAAAGGGAAATCAAATGATATTACATTTTGATCTATGTCTGCCACAATCAACTTTACAATGTTCTCTGTCTGATAATAAGCCTGTTCACATCCCTCAAATACGGTAAGAGGGGATTCACCAGAGGCTTAATATACGTGTGGACCTGCAAGTGGATTTGGGGCTTCTACTGCCATCTATAGCCTTCTGCAAACCAGATGTTTACAATTTAAGCTTTGATACCACTTCCTCTTTTAAATTTGAATTGTATTTAGAATCCTTGGATCACACAGGCTGCTTGGGCTTCTTCCATGTGGACTTAGTTGATGCCTTACTCAGACAGCTGCTTGTTGAAAACAAACCTTTAAGACAGCCTTTAAAACAAACCTCGAGACCCCTTTGGGGGTTGAACCACCTTTTCACGGGGTCGCCTGATTCATAACAGTAGCAAAATTACAGTTATGAAGTAGCAATGAAAATAAATTTATGGTTGGGGGGTCACCACAACATGAGGAATTATATTAAAAGGTTGAGGCATTAGGAAGGTTGAGAACCACTGCTTTAAGACCTCCGATCTACTTTTCTGATGGCTGGGCACCATCTAGTTTCTTCTGTTCGCTAACATCGCCCTTATCTTCAGTGATTTCTTCATGAGGTTGAGCACCAAGCAGGACCATGTCATAAGAACCAATTGTTCTTAGATTGATCAGCCCTGTCTTAAAGCATGGCTGTGGCAACAAGAAGTCCAAGTCTGCATCCTCTAAATCAGGGGTGAGGAAGGACCAGCCATGGGCAGTCGGTTGTTGTTAGTTTCCATCCACAACCTTCTGTATAACAAAACGAAACACTGGTTTGTTCTGTGCCATCCTCACAATTGTTCCTCTGCTTGCGCTCCTTGTTGAAAGCTACTGTGCCAATCCATCTTTTTGAAGGTCTACCTCGTTTTCATTGCCCCTCTATTTTACCAAGCATGATGCAGCATGTCCAAAGTTTGTTAGACGACGTCTCACCGTCCTTGCCCCGAAGGAATACTCTAGCCCTGCTTCTTTCCAGACAATGTTTCCATGCTCTGCACAAGGTTTTCAGCAGCTACTTCCCTGATGTGGGCAGCCGATTCCCTCTTCGAAGTCTGTTCTCTGAAAGCTCTGCTGAAACCTGTCTACTTTGGGTGACCCTGCTGGCATTTGAAATACCAGTGATGTAGCTTTCAGGTTCACAGCAACACACAACCCACTACAGTTCAACAAACGAGGCCATCATGTTAGGGGTGAGTTAATTAAATGTTTGACTAGTATAGTCTGAGAATGATGTTATAAATACTCAACTGGCCCTTGGCAGAATAAAGCTTCCCCAAATCATCTCTAAATGGAATTGTTTTTACAACCATCTTCTGGGTTCAAAATACATGAGCTAATTCTTTGATTTTGACGAACACACATCAGATTCCACTGATCTCTGTGTTTTTTGATCAAAGTTAACACTTTCCTCAAAAACAGCTGGAAATTGTCTGGCCGTTGGTTCTGCTTACGTGCCTAAAACCAAAGGCATTTGACAGCCTTGAGCAAGAGCCCAGGTTTCACTCAAAGACTTGAAACAATCCTAGAGTTACCCTCTTGAGTTACCCTCGACCTCACACTTCTCCAAGGTGAAGTCCAAGGAGAGGGAGAGGCAGTGGCCCAGAGCAGCCTCCTTGCCAATCTACCGTTTCCCCGAAAATAAGACAGTGTCTTATATTAATTGTTGCTCCCAAAGATGCACTAGGTCTTATTTTCAGGGGATGTCTTATTTTTCCATGAAGAATACGGTACACATTTATTGTTTTATTAAAAGAGACCCAGCACTTCCTGTCTGCTCCAGCTGCGCTGCAGCCAACAGTGAGCTGCACGGCAGCACTTGCCGCTACAGTCCTGAGTCCAGAGTTACGGTAGCTTCAGGGAGCCTTATTTTCAGGGGATGTCTTACATTTCAGTGAGAGGCAAAACTCTGAGTAGGTCTTATTTTCGGGGGATGTCTTACTTTCGGAGAGACAGGGTAGGAAGGCAAGGATTCGTTTGCCAATGGGAGAGGCAGACTGCTCAGACGTGTGCACAGTTACACATAACAACTGGCTGGAACAAAGACTTGTAAGCAGAGGATGGCTATGCATCTTTGCTCTCCTCTATCCCAGCCTGTTGGATCCACAAGAAAACCCCGCTGGACTGTCTTCACCACGAAAAGACCTTGGAAAAAGCTACTGTTAATGTTTACCCTGTCTATTGAAAGAAATCAAACCACCACCAACTTTGTATATACTCTGCTAATCTTGAATTGTTCTTGGGGCTTGGCCAGGCAGCTTTGCAGCGGGTGCGTCTGTTTCTCGTCTCTTTTCTCTTGACTACATTTCCCCTAGAGCAGCTCCCAGTCAAGTTATTCCAGTGCAGATGCCTTCACGATGGAACGGTTTCGTTTCGTTTAGTAGGTAGCCCTCTGCCAGCCAACAATCCCCATCTTCTCCTTTCCTCTGGTTCCTCCTATGCCCGTCTCTGCTCTTACCCACCCAGGATGCTTCCGTAAAAGCGTTAGGGGTTGCGAGTAGCAACAGACTGATGGCTGCAGGTTTGACCTTGCTCGTTTCTATTCTAAAATCCACCATCATTCCACACTTGAAAGGCACCCCTAGGCTGCCGTAAGCTTCAACACGGATGAAAAGGGACGACGCATCACCATCAAGTGCACCTCCCGGTGGAAATCCAAGTTTCTGGCCTTCTGCTGCACGCGGCTTTCAGGGGGCATTGCAGAGGCTTAGGCTGATGGACGGGGAGACTCTGACGGACAAGCACCTCCTCCCGGCTCCTCGAAGCCCACGTGACTGAGGCGTGCGCGCGAACGCGCGGGCCGGAAGGAAGGGGGCGCGGGAGAGGCAGGGGGACGGACGGTCCTCAGCGTGCCGGGCCACGGACGCCACAGCCGGGTATCCCGTGGAGCTCCGCACGCCGCGCAGAGGGGGCGGGGCCCCGGAAGGGGGCGGAGCCTCCACTCTCCAATCAAAATACCGCTCGTAGCAGTTTGTTCTAAGTGGCGACCCGTCGAGCGAGTGCTGCGTACTCGACCATGTGACCACCCAGAGGCCGGAACTTGGCTGGGGAAGGGACGCTCCGGGCCGGGACAAAAACAAACGGCGACGGCGCCGCTGCCGCGGCTATGGCTGAGGCGATGCGGGCCCCTCGGCGGGCCAAGGCCAAGGCCAGCCGGACCAAGGCCAAGGTGAGGCCTTCTCTCCCTCCTCCCAAGCCCTGACTTGCCCCCTCTCCTCCTCCACCGGCCCCTGACTCCCCGCGCCCGAGCTGCCCGGCTGACAGCAGCTCCGCCGCCACAGCCCACTGGGGCCGCCCCCTTTCCTGGCCTCACCTACCAGCCCAGGGGGCGGTGGGTGACGAGTTGCGCATCCAGCCACAGCGTGCGCAGTTCGAAACCACCAGCCCCCTGAGCAGGGGCGAGATGAGACGCCCTGCTCCAGCCTCTGAAACCGCAGGGACCGTTCGACCCTGCCCCATCGGGTGGGTATGGGTTCGATATGAGTGGAAGTCCACTCACTGGCCGTGAGTTTGGTTTTGGTCACCCACCTCGCTGGATGCTTCTTTTCGATTCCCAGCGGGAATTAAGCTGTTCTCCTTCCCCGCGCCGTCTCCTTCCTGCTCTGTGTCTGGGGAGCCTCTCCAGCCTCTCCCTGGCGTGAGGGGGGAAGAAGGACGGATCCTGCTCTCCTTTGGCAGAACTCTCTACAGAGCGATGACGGCAGAGGCTGTGAGTGGGAAGCCGTTCGATGGCAGTGAGTTTGGTTGAGTTTTGGCACTGAGGTGCTGGTTCTGGTCATTTCTCAAACTTAGAGTGAGTGTGGTGCTGCTCCTGGCTGGTTGTCCTTGTCCTGGTTTGTGAGGGGGAACCAGGATCCAGAAAGTAAGCGAGGGCGGCATCTTTCAATCTTTCTGGGTTTCCTGGGATTCAGTCTGATGTCCCTACACATTTTCGCAATTTGTTTTACAATCACCTGGTAAGTACTCACTCTTAATAGTGGACCTAGATGATGTTGGCTTTCCTGTAACTGAATTTAGGAGCCTTGGTGGCACAGTGGATTAACATTTGAGCTGCTAACCTCAAAGTCAGGGGTTCAAATCCACCACTCGCTCTGGGGGAGAAAGATGAGGCTGTCAGGTTCCACAAAGACTTATAGTGTGGTGGAAACCCTCTGTGGGTTGCTGTGAGTCAGAACTGATTCCATAGCCATGGGTGGTCCTACAGAGAGGATTTTTAACTATGACATATCCTCCAGGTTGTTTCCTTCCAAAACAAGGTTTCTATTGTAAAACACAAGAAATGCTTTGGGAAAAAGCACCTGGTCCCTTTTTTGACTGTTTATTTCAGACAACTTTTGTTTTGATCTATGTGAAATTTATGAAGAAGTCTACACACCAGAGATTGTTGATGAGACGGAAATTTTGATACATGCTTTTCTTGACCCTCCAAATCAGATCGGGCACTGAATCTCTTAAACGCATGTGTTCTCTAAGTATTCTCCCGGTTCTGCCCATTTCTGACATCATCTCTGGGTTTCTGCAACACTGATCTTTTCTTATCATCTTGCTGCACATTCTCTGAGCTGAAAGGTGACAAGTATATATATTGAAATGTATATACATTTTTAAAAACTATTTTATTGGCACTCCTTCCACATA